CCCCGACTGGGTACCTCCGCCAAACACGCTCCCTAGCTATCGCCGGGACACTAGCAGCACTCCAGCTCCTAGCCACGTCACCATCCTCGAACAGGGTCCTGGATCCAGCTTCTAATGATTAAAGCTCTCCTGCAGAGAGTATAGCTGTTTAACTGGTACACCCAAACACTAGACCAGACTGAGTGAAGGATGAAAAGGAACTGGTTTATTATGGCCAAGTTGCCTGCTTTTATACACAGCCCCCAGCATGGGGTCTCCATTCAATGCAAGACAAGCCACTCCCATAAATCTCTGTGCCTGGGATATAATTGTGTTAAAGACCTGTAGGCTGATTATCTCCCAGGAAAACAGAGGCAAGTTCTGGTCAACTTTCAGGAGCTCCAGCGTCCGAAATATAGGGTGCACCGGCTGGCTCTTAGATAGCGTTTGTGCCCCCTTAGTCTCAGGCACCTTCCCTCCAAAAAGTGCTCTCCTGGCGGATTCTTCAAAACACCGGACCAAGTTGTCCAGGAACCGCACGGTCGCCTCATACCGAAAACAGTTCCATAACATTCGCGGCTAAGTCCCGCTGAGGTGACCAGGGACCCACGAAGTCCTCATGCCGAATTTAGTTCCATAACAAGTACTGCTGAGGACAATTTGTGGCCGCCAGGGAGCTAGTGTTCAGTTCCATTCGAATGAAGGGAAAGTGCCGAACCAGGGGCACCCCTGGAAAGCTGCTAATGGTGGCTTGGCAGGTTTAACTCCCGAACAGGGTCTTTGGATACAGCCCATAGTCCTTGGGCAGGAGGCTAGCCAGCAGGCTTCTCCAGGAGCTCATGGCATAGACATGTTTGCCACAATCATTTATTAGGGTCACACAAACATCCTACAAAAACAAAACTAAAGTAAGAAAACCAATAAATCAGTGGGACCTAAACATTCCTATCCGTTGCAAAGGTTTCAGTATGACCAACTTCTATGGCTGGGCAAATGGGAGATCTTGAGATATTGTAGAAGTACAGCTACATTGATTCTTTGACACCCTCTAGAATGGACATGCTGTAATATCACATCTGGGATCTATTGTTTGACATTCCTTGTACTAAACCATTTACCTCAGTATTAGAACATTATGTTAGGCCTCTCTTGAGAGAACAAGCTGTAAAACATTGCTTTTTGTAAAAAAATTTAACAAATTACAATGAAAAATAACCACTTTTGCTAATGCAAATTTGAGAATTACATGTAATGCTCTAACTCAGCTCATTACAATTTGCAAAGAAGTATATGCATACTTATTCAGCACCAAATATTTACTTAGGTGCATCTAAACTGTCAAGGTGGAGGCAGATCCCTTCAGTTAAAGGGACACTGTAGTCACTATAACCACTTTGTCTCTTTGAATTGGTTATAGTGCCTGGAGTGCCCTGGCACTGTCACTCCTTTCAGTGTTGGAGTCCCTGGCCACCCACAGTCCAGCCCCTTCTGTATGTGTAGCTAAGGCAGAGATTACACACTTCCTTGTTGTCATACCCATTCATACCGTCAGTTGGAGCTCTGACAGGTTAAAAGCAGTCAGCTGACACTCTCAGCCAATCACAGCTGCCCATTGCTGCTCAGGGTAATACTTCCTTATTAGCCAAAGCAGCACAGAGGGGATGGCCTGCCGTGGTCTCTTGTTTAGCATTAAAACATTACAACATTAAAAACTGTTTAATGCTGAAAGAAATGATGGCACCAGGGGACTCCATACACTATAACCAGCTTAATGAGATGAAGCAGATAGAGTGCCTACAGTCAGGGCTGTCTTTAATTTAGATTGGACCCTGGGCGAGCATTTACTTGGGCCCCCTGACTACGTCTAGATACACACAAATACACTACCTGACACACATGCAGATACACACTGACCACATATAGATACACACAAGAACATACAGATACACACAGACTACATATAGATACACTGACACACACATAGACACACACACAGATACAAACACTGACATACATGCAGATACAAAGGTACACACACTGACTACTTATAGATACACCGACACACACACTGACAGACAGACACACAGATACACAACCTGACACACATGCAGATATACAGATACAAACACTGACACATACAGATACACACACAAATACAAATGGACAACATACAGATACAGAGACACATTCTGACAGACGTACTGACACAGACTCACACACAGACAACCATACTGAAACACACATACACAAAGACATACTGAACCACACAGACACTGATGGACTCTCACACACACAGACATACAGATACACTGACAGACATACTGGCACATATACACACAGACAGACGGACATACTGAAACACACATACACACAGACAGACGGACATATTGACAAACACAGACATACAGAACCACACTGACAGACTCACACATAGACATACTGACAGACATACACACATTCTGGCACACACACACAGACACACACACAGACAGACTGAAACACACATAGACACAGACACTGACAGATATACACACATCCAGACATTTTGAAACTCACAGACAGCCATACTGAAACACACATACATACTGAACACACTGACACACTGACAGACATACTGGCACACAGACAGACATTCTGGCACACAGACAGACATTCTGGCACACAGACAGACAGACATGCTGAAACACACATACACACTGAACCACACAGACACTGACAGACAAACACACATCCAGACATTTTGACATACACAGACAGCCATACTGAAACACACATACACACTGAACCACACAGACACTGACATACTGCAACACTGACAGACATACACACATACAGACACACTGAACCACACAGGCACTGACAGACTCACACACACACACAGACATACAGATACACTGACAGACTTGCACTCATGCAAATTTTGATAACCACCCTCCAGTTTCTTACCTTTTCCTGGAGGGTGGCTTCCCTGGGGTCCAGTGGGCTGGCTGGGGTGGCTGGGAGTTAAGCTCTCCCGGCCTGGCCCCCTCCGGAACAGCTGGTCCGCCTTCCTCCCGCGCGGCTCTTGTTTCTGTGGGAGGAAGTGACGCGCGGCTGTCACTTCCTCCCAGTGCTGCACTGCTGCCGAAAAGCAAGGGCCCGGTCGCGCTGTTAAAGCGCCAGAGCGCGCGACCGGGCCCCTGCTGACACAGGCCCACCGGGTGGCCCTAAGTGCATGGGCCACCCGATGGGCCCCCATAGTTTGCAGGCAGAGGGCAAACAGGGCAGTTACCTCGGGCCCCCCAGCAGGGACAGGGCCCGGGGCAGCTGCCCCGTTTGCCCCGCGTTAAAGACAGCCCTGCCTACAGTGTCCCTTTAATAATTTAGTGCTGAGGGAGCTTGATAGATTATTAATGCTGAGAAGCTAGGCATTCCCCAGCATGGCGTTTTTGTTTGAAGATAGAGCCATTAGGCAAAGTATACACTTGCCTTCAGGTGCATGTCCTATAGGCGGTGTCTGTTTTCAGCATTTACAGTGTTCTATTTTGGAGCTTTAGTTGGCTTGTGGGAGGAAATAATTACCAGGAACCTTGGACAGTGTCCTCCAGCGCTGTTCATAAATAACACCCTTCAATTACTACCATGAGACATATAAAGAGATCATTTTATTATAAACATGTACAAATCTCATCCCTGGTATGTCTGCATATTGAGAAACACTGTCCATAAAACCAAAGCTGTCAAAAGTAGCATTTGCAATATATATATATTAATCTGTATCTGGTTTGTGCCTCATTAACAACTGGACTTTCATCTCCAGACCCATGAAGCCCCTAATCCAACACTGGCACTATGATTATTAGCATATTAGAATATTTTGAGATAAACTGTCCAGAATAATTGCTGTACACAATACCATAATGGTTTCCTGTGTAATGTATAACAGCGGTACTCTTTAAAATGTGCCGACCTTGTGTTGGAAATTGAAAAAAATTAAAGCTATTCCACAGAACAGCTGCCATAGTCTTTTTCATAGAAAAGATGCCAAATTTTGCTAGAGTTCATGGCAGTGACACAAAAGACACTAGCTTGTGATAAACACAAGTTCCTGTTGAAAAGGCAAGCAAACCACAGCACACAGAGTCTGTCATACTGCGTACCATCTTTACTCACACATAAATAAAATACCTATGGGCTGTTTGACTGTCTGCTTTCATAGTCAAGTGTCCAGAATCATGAGTGTCCAGAATCAGTTGGATGATTGGTTAAGACGCTTTTTGAGATTAGTCCTGAATGTTTAATTCCACATTGGGGCTTCACCTTGACTATAATGCCTGAATCCCAAGTATAAGAGTTCAGATATACCTGATGTAATTCATTGAAATACATAAATACTTAGCACTGCTGGCTGTGTTGGTTGACAGCATGCTCTGTTTTTTTACTGTAAGTTCCCACTTTCTAATTTAGGAACTGTATAGGAAAGAGCACCTATCTTAGTATACTTATTTATATTTAAAGTGTGCAAAGGACCTCAGATCCTCTAGCTGCCGCTACTCCAATGTATGCATAAATCAATGCAAACATCCTGCGTTCCTGATCAATAAGTACTGGGGATTGCTGCTTGCTAATTAAGTGCATTTATATATTTTATATACTGGCTTTAGCAAACGGCAGCCGACTTTATCCTGGGGTTCTATTTAATTACATAAACAGAATATTAGGGGTGAAAAAAATATTAAAAAAGTAAGATGAAAAAAAAATTAAAGAAAAACACCTAGCACAGATCTTTCTCACACAGTTTTCTGAACAGGCAATGACCCTCTCAGCCTATCACTGGTGCCCACTCCAAGACTTCCTGATGCTGCCACATTTGGAATTTTGGGGTTAGACCGTTTGTAAATACTTAAACCCTTTAATATGGTACCCAGAGTGGTCCTTTCAAATAGCTTTTGATTTTAATACCAGGTTGTATGTTATATATTATGAATTTGGAAGCCAATATACTGTCATAAATACTACAGTTCTTTGACAGATTTATAGTTCTGAATAATTTTTGGCTTAGATGCTTTATTAGAATTATGTGAATTTAAATTGTGAAACAATCACCATATTTTTCACATGTGAATTTCACTGACTTTATAGACACAGGATCTTTTAATGCAATAAAATCAACAGACAACATTTATTTCATAAACGAAAGTGCTTTATTTGTAGTGAAAACGCATCAAAATGTCTTAATACATTTGATTAAACTTACATTCCATTCTATCTAAAGGTAGTAAATGGGTATAATGTAACAAACTAGCCCTCTACAGCCACTTTCATTGCTGTATATACTAATTTTTATCAATATAACATTATTGTGGCTGCCATTACATATTTATAACACAAACACATACTGTACAATGTATCTACTAGTAACTTAAAGGATGTCTCAAATTAAACAAATATTACCACTTGTATTAAAGTGACACTCTATTGCCCAAATAAATCTGGTTAGAATCTGGTTAATTCCCAAGTGTAACAGACTAGCAGATAGCCTGAGGTTCACCACAAGGTTATTTTACAGGGAAGAGTGTGTGCGTGGGGGGGTGGGGGGGGGAGGGGGAAGGGGGGAGGATGGGAAAGGGGGAGGCTTGCTTTTGCAACTTTTATGATGAAATAATTCTACTATTTGTCCCCTGTACAATAACCCAGTCCTGACTTCCTGTGGCTCTCCAATTACAGACCTAATGAAAAGTCTTTGCAAGACAGTACTCTGAGAAATTGTCTGCCTCTTAAGCTATGCTCCACTGAGCTAACCAAACCAGGAAGTAACAGGACCGTTTGTGTGACTAACAGCTAAGGGATGTAGCAAGGATAATTGTAAAAGTGTCAATTCTTTTTAAATCTGCACTTTTTGTCAAATGATAATAAGAGGGCACAGTCTTTACACATGAAACACTTCAGCAAGCTGCAGTGCCTTGGGGTCTGGAGTGTCCGTTTAAATTGTTCCATTCTGTAAAAAAAAGTTAGCTGCTCCAAGTTTCTTTTTTTTCCTGCAGGAAAGCCTTTATAGCAAGTGGGATACAATAACATGTCTGCAACCTAGAGCAAATCACAGGATATTGACTTTACATGCATTTAGTATTTGATACATGAGAGAGTAGTAGGATTTGCATCTATTGAATTTACCATGTCAGAGGAGATGGTAGCAGCAAGTGGGTTTATTCATGGTTAACGTTACACGAATTATCAGTTAACATCAGTTAAAAATGGTTCTGAAAACAACTACTTCCCCTGAGACATCTAGTCTGATTTATCAAACACAATCTTATTTTCTAGTTCTGCAGATATTTAATTTGATAAATGATTTGCTGCAAAATATCAAAACAACCCAAAAAACAACCCAAAAAACTACAACTTTTTACAATATGTATAGGATTTTTTTTACACTACTTTAATTTTATTTACATATTAGCATTGAATACTGTGTTTTTCCATAGTCTTAAGACAATGAACTATCTATTCATACGTAGGATTCCTTGGCATATTGTAACTGATCATATATCTCAAATACTGGCTGGCTACATCTCCGACTTAAGCAGTCGTGTTTGTAAGGTTGAGATGATTCTGACAAAGTCCTTACAGCGATCGTTTTCTCCACATGATTTTTAAAAGGAGCATCCCCTGTTTGTACCTCCTTTATTGAGTTTGACCCAATGTGATCTGTGCTGTCTTTGTGGGAACTTTCATTTTCATGTTCACTTAGCGAATCCTTACTTGAAACACTTGATCTCATGGTGTGGACTGTCATGATCTCAAATGAGCAAGAATTTTTATTGACAGCTTCCTCATAAGATGGAGGGTTACCAGGGTTTCTTTGGTCTACAATTCTGAACACTTCATCCACTGACATTTTGCGAGCAGATGCAGTCCTTCTCAGCCTTACAACGGGTGGTTGCTGAAACTGTTTGTCCCGTGGACTGTCAGGTTGTCTCTTATTCCTCAAGCTTAGTGTCAGAGCATTTCTATGTAAACCTGTATTTTGTCCTTCAGGTCCCCAACTCTGTGTCTTGGACAGACATTTTTTGTGGTTTACATATGAGAAAGAGTTTGAATGTTTTCTTATTTCTCTGGCTGGTCGCATTGCATCAATTTTGTCTTTACACTTAGTAGAAAAAGACTGGTGCTTCACCTTGCTAGTTTTCTCAGGACTTGAAGGGGAAACAAGCGGTGAGCTTGTAAAAACAGAACAGTCTAGGTACGAATTGTCTAGAGGGCATGTAGAAGTTACATTTGGCAATAAATCATCCAAACATTCTGAATAAGCACTCGTATTAATAGAGAGTCCTTTAGGAATCTTTGTCTTGTATAAAGCTCTAGAACAACATTCCTCTGAACCTTGCTTGGACAGTTCTCCATCGCTTGGATATGTTCCTCTTTTGCGAACTGTAACATCATCATGGCTTCTTGTTAGTTTAGCTCCTGGCAAAACTTTGGCACCTTGAGAAGGAAAAATGTATGGCTCTGAACACCTCCTGTCTATGCTAGTATCTAGATTTTTCAACCTAGTTACAGATGATGGTGAAAGCTCAAGATCTTGATCCACTGAGCTCTGTAGATCCTCACTCCCAAACGTGTTGTGCCAACATAGCCTTCTTCTGAATGGACTGGCAAGACATTCATGATCTTGATCGGTACTGTCGTAGGCCGAGTCATTTTGATGAGAAGAAATTTCTGAAAAAAAAAAGGTATGTCATATAATTTAATCGTAAGAACACAGATACACACAAAGCAGTGATAATTGTATTAGTAATATCATCGTATTGGGTGACTTATTGTATATAATCAAAAGAAACATACAAGTCACTAATACTATATGCATTTCATTGACACTTAAAATGTTCTATAGTTCGTAGACTGTAAATACTGCTTCTGACACAGGTGAACTAAACACTTTGCTGATCAAACATGGCAGAATTTACTAATGGGTTAGCTCCTCCTATTATTGCAGAAAGAATAGGAACTAGAACTCTGAAATTGGTACAAAAAGATACACTCCTTCTCCACCATGCAGTATTTGCAACTAGGTTTACAACTCTCAAAGTAAATGTGTGGAAATGTAGTGTTACCATGTATAATGATCAGGAAAAGAAAATTACAGTAAGTATGAATCAGTTTTCCTTCTTATTGTTAAAAGGATAAATACACTAGTTGTTGATATTTTAAAACATGCACCTACTATTGTTTAAAAAACAGATGGGGAGTCATTAGCTACAAAGCCTGTTTGTCGTGATAAAACCTGTTGTTAGTTACAAAGACTGTTGTTTGTCTTTATGAAACCTGTTCCATTATTCCACAGGTGCGCAATGAATAATACATACCTGTAATGTCAATGTTTTCCAGTGAATCCTCTTCTGAAGCACTGAGCAGTTGAGACACATTGTCACCAAACATTTCAAAACAACGGTCTATTAAAAACTCAACCAGGGAAATAACCTGTGAAAAGAAAGGAACACACGGATGAAATACAGGAGACACTGGTAAATACCCTTTTACTGGTGAATTTGAATTATGACATTTGATATAAATTTAATATTATCTATAGGTTTAGAACAGGTTTGCTGTAAACATAGATTTATTCACCACTAACACTTTTACAGGTTATTCACTTCAGTGAGAATAACTGGGAATTCCAAGTGATGTTTTAAATTTACGGCTAAAATAGCCAACCTGAATACAGAATTCACTTGAATGTTTTTTGTTTTTGTTTTTTCTGATTCAGCTATTTTAGCCTAAATGTATAAATTTTCAACAATTCTGAGTTTGGAAATAACTTTTTTTGCATTTAAAGGTTTATTTTAGGTGCAACTAAAGTGTACTTGACTCCATTTTGACTTGAAGGGCACAGTTAATTTATTGTTCAATTACCTGATTCTACACGGGCTAAAGAGTAGTGCCAACACGCTACACATTAAAACTAAGCAACACAGATCATATAGAATTTAATGTAGTGTAGTCCAAGTGCTGAGAGAGCCCACTGAGATTAGCTCATACATTGGGCATCTGTAAAAGGTTGCAAATTACTGGAGTGATTACAATGTTATGAATAACTGGGGTAAGTGAATTATCTCTCCCTTAGCATATTAAGGCAAATTCATGTTCCTCTGCCCTACTACATGGATATCAGTGTCAGATTAACAAGGTTATTTACTAAAGGGAGAATTGTTGGGAATTTAAAGTGAAATCAATTGAATTTCAAATTTTAGACCAAAAAAGCTAAAATATAATATTTACAGTTCAGTTATTTTAACCTTAAATTTGAAATTCACTTTAAATTCACTTTGTATTCTTGTCAATTCTCACTTTAGTAAATAACCCTGAAAGGTTTCCTTGAAAAACATCTAGGTAGCTTTTTAAATGAGTTTATCAGAATGTCCAAAAGAAAATATGGAGATAGGATACTAATATCAGTGATTTTGGAGTCTGCAAGGTTTACATATTCAATAATAACTGAATTAATATGACATACGTTGTAGTAAAAATTACCTTTTCATTGAGCCGTTTCTGAGTTTCCAGGGGGAGACTTTTGTCGTTATTTGGAATAAGCATATTTGGGCCAATGCAGACAGCTAGATTGTTTGAATCCATCTTATTTACATCTGAAGCCTTGCTGATGTGATGAAGAACGCAGATCAAATGTTGTAATAAAATTAAGTTTGGTCTTGGGAGTTTATCTGCAACACTAAGCCAAAACACATAGAAATGTTTAGAGCTTGCACAATCTCAGTTTCAACCATTATGAAAACGCCACCATAAAGAAGTTTTCCTTTTAAAAGAGGAACTGTCCATAAACATTTTGACAAAAACTGCCTCCCATTCATAAATGAGAAAGTAGCAGAACCAGTATTTATTAACCAGGGAAATAACCTCCCTAGCCATTCATGTCAACAGTTAGAATCTGGTTAATTCCCAAGTGTAACAGACTAGCAGATAGCCTGAGGTTCACCACAAGGTTATTTTACAGGGAAGAGTGTGTGCGTGGGGAGGTTGGGGGGGGGCAGGGGGGTAGACTTGCTTTTGCAACTTTTATTGGGAAATAATTCTACTATTTGTCCCCTGTACAATAACCTTCAGTAAATCTCATATACATGTCAATATATATATATATCATTATACCACATACGATTCAGAAATGTAATTGTTATAAAGATGTATCTTTTTATAAAGTATGTTAAGAATGTTTGACAAAATACCAAGATCATTATGTTGGACTAGTATATTTGTCAAATCGGAATATAATATATGGTTGGTTAAGGAACCAATGCAATTAACCAATTAAGAAATGTAAGACTAAGTAAAGAAGACTAAGTAAAGGACATTTTATACTCTTATCAGGTGCCCAAACAAAGAACGTTTTGAAGCAACATTTTTGACAGAAGCCACACAAGCCTTTGAGAAGCCGTCAGTTCTTTATATCATATTGAGTAATACATTACTCACCATTTC